ATCTGTTTTAGCCACTGCTCCAGTTTGGGGGTGACTGCCCCGAGGGTCCCGATGACCACAGGCACCACTGTGGTCTTCACCTTCCAGGCCTTCTCCNGTTCCTCTCTGAGGCCCTGGTATTTCTCCAGTTTCTCATGCTCCTTTTTCCTGATGTTGTGGTCACTTGGTATTGCTACATCCACCACAACGGCTTTCCTCTGTTCTTTATCCACCACCACAATGTCCGGTTGGTTCACCATTACCATCTTGTCTGTCTGGATCTGGAAGTCCCACAGGATTCCATGTAAATTTTAGGTGAACCTAAGATGCCATCTGTGATAAGTTTCGCGGTTCAAGCCTCGATGTCTGTCCCTCCGGCCTCCCCTCCCTCTCTGTATCCACCACCGCCCACCTACCACCAGAACTGCATTGCCAGGCCTCCCTCCAGGCTACAGTGCTGCAAAAGTGACAACATAAGGTCCATTCTGTTCCCTGTCACTCACAGCCTCAGGCCCACTGTTAAATGGAAAAGGCTTTTAGAGGCTGTAAATGGGGAATGGAGGGAGAGAGGTAGGTGGGTCACAGTGGACATGTTGGCCTTTGTGTGCCTGTGTGTGCCACGCACAGATGCATTATAGTATATGTGGACTTTTAGGTGTGTGTGTGCGTGCGTGCGTGCGTGCGCGCGCGTGTGTCAGCAGGCTCGCACCAGGGAGTTGAAGAGATTTGTGCGTAAATGAGGCAGGATTAGCCTGTAAATTAGTCTTTCAGTGTGAACTGTGACTATCCAAAGACTTTCAGTGTTTTAGTATTACAGACCTGTGTTTTTGTCTCATTTTTGACAGGCTTTCTCTGCAGCTTCTAAGAGTTTCCATGCATCAGTCTTTTTATTTCCTCCTTATAACGAGCACCTGTTGGATGCTGTTAGCATTATCACAGATGTATTACTTCTACTAAAAGTAATGCATTTAGAAGTGTATTTATTTTCTCTAACATTAACATCTGTAGTTTAGGATATTATATTCTCCCTTGGCCAGAACAGTTAAAGAGAGAAACAAATGTCACTGTTTACACAATCTATGAGAAACAATTGGCATTGTCTTGTAAGCAGCCTTAACAATCCACTCAGTCAGTGATTTCTTTGTGACAGAGACATACCACACAAAGAGGTGAACGTGAGGACAGCTTTTATTAATTGATTATTGGTTGTATTATTTATAAGGCCTGGTTGGTAAAGTCTACTAATAATGTATTACTTTGCAATCGGTGCTGACTTACTGAGCCTGGGAAAAGTACTCATACTACTTGCCATGTTTCACATTTTGCCCCATTAAAATCACCAAATTCTGTAAATTTTATTTGAATTTTATGTGATAGATGCAAAATAGTTCATAGCTGTGAAGTGGAAGAGAAAGGATACATTGTCTTCAAATTTTTGCAGATAAAAACATGTGTGGTCTACATCTATGTTTAGTCCTCTTGACTCTGATATGCTCTATCAATTTCCTTTAGAGGTAATGGAGTCCACCTGTGCGTAATTTTACGTAGGAAGGCCTTCTTATTTATTCATTTTAGTTGCAAAATAATCAATGGTGGTGCTTGTTTAACAAAGATGTATTGTAAAATTGATACAAATCAGGTGGTAATTATATTAGAGTCAATTCACTTGTCTGGTCTTAACTTTGTACTGCAGAGTTCTGTATCCACGTTGATTATTATGCAAAGACAAATATGCCTGTTCTACAAAATGAAATACTTTTTGCTCCTGATTGTATGCGCTAAAGTAGTTACACTAACCAGCCAAAGCATCATTACTACTAATTTGAAGAATGAAGAAACTCTCCCTTTTCTTACCAGGGTCTGGGGAAGGATTAGCTGAGTACAACCTGGGGAATCAGATGTTTGCAGCAGAACCTCTCGGTGTGGTCTACTGAGGATTTCAATCTTTTAATATTGTCAGATGCAATCAGGGGCCTGTTGGTTGGTTGTTTGTATGTAGGGGTAATGTTAAAATGGTTAAAACAATTAATTATACTCATATTTTTCCTACTGAACGTTGTGTTGTTGCAACAATACTAATAATTAAAAAAAATTCAAAAATCAACTTCATAAAAAGATAATAATCACATTTTCAAGTCACTGATTTACAGGAAAGCCAGACTGCCAGTGATTCCACATTCTGGACTTAGATCTGACTGAGTCCACTTTGTAATTGGAAAAAAAAAAAACAGTGCAGCTGAAAAAGCTACTTTAAAAGAAAAAAACAATTTCTTGCTAATTCATCATAACCACGCTGGAGGTGAACGTATTTTTGCATGAGAGAATGAAAGATTAGCTGCAGCATGTCGTGCTGTTGTCAGCGGTAGGCGTGATGATCGTCAGCTGAAGGCTCTCACCTGTCACTGCCAAGGCAAAGTTTGGGGACTGCTGGCGCCAGCCCAGTCTAAACAGGAGTCGGCCCTCTCTGCCTCAACAGGTCTGCTTCAAAGAACGCTCCTCGCAGGGAGGGTAAGAGAAACAAAAGTTCAGTTAGGATTTTCACAAGCACAGGGTCACCTTGATCTTTCACTCTCCCGCATCTTGTTCATGCATCCTGCTGCATGAGTGCTCGCCCTGTTTGTTTGTGACCGCTTTGAAACTTTTAACACCCTGTTTATCCTGTTTTGGGGCTTAAGCAAAATGTACTCTAGCTACTTACCGCATGCATCTGCTAATATTTGTTGCATGATGTGTTAATATGATAGTAAACTAACAAACTGGTGTGTTTTGTGGTATCAGACACTAAGAACCCCTCTTCTTCGGCTTTGTCTCCAGCGTGACCCTTCAAGGCTCCGTTTCTGGCTCCTGCCCTGGTGTGTGTGTGTGTGTGTGTGCGCGTGTGTTTGTGTGTGTGTGTCTGAGCTAGATGTGATAGCGGAGAAAAACCATCTGTTTGGCTGAAATCTGTGTGCTTGATATCCCCTCTGTCTCTGTGGCTGCCCTGCAGATGTTTTGGTTGTTTTTAAGCACCACTTTGTTTTTGATTCCTCGTCGTCTGTTTAGAAATGAAGGGATTACTTTCCATCCACTATTGGACATTTGAAGAAGTGTAAGTTAAGCCCACGTGTTGCACCCATGCCATAAAACCGTCTAAACTTTCCACTCATTTTGTGGCACCGCGCACAGATTCGCAGTCATGTCTTTGGCGTACAGGACAAAATTCATCCAAGTGCACAGTACTGTAAGGATTCCAAACGTGTGCAAGGCTGATACTTATGATCTGCTTTTCATTGGCGGCGAATAAATTTCCTCTTTTGTAGTCACCAGTGAATGCGTGGAGATGTCAACATACTCTGTTGGCCTTTTTGATTGTCATTGAAATGTTCCCTCTCACCAAGTAATATAGCTACATGTCACTTTTTTTCTTTTGTTGTTGTCTTTTGTATTGTTAGCCTTGCACAGAAATTAACCTAATAAGGTTTCAAGCCCTATCTTTCAGTTTTATAATACTTGGCGTGCGTGCATCCTGAAATATTTCACTATTATTTTAGACATGTACAGATGCAGATGTGTATCTATGGAGAAGAAGTGCAGAATGCATAATTCTGTCACACAGCTTTTAAAAAGAAGACAGGTGAAGTGACACCATGACGGAAGAATAGGACAAAGAACAAAGGAAAGTTAAGAGTTGAAGACTCTCCCTTATCATTAAAGTGTGCTCTTTGGTATGGATGCACTTTTTCAGTCAGCTGCAGTGAGAATACAAAAAGAAAAGTGGATCAAGTAAAAGCTTTATAAAATGAAATATTGATAAGGCATGTAGTTGAATCTTTGTAATATATCACTTGAAAGGACACTTGTAACAAAATTGGAGCAAATAAAAACAAGCTGAAATCCAACTTGGTTGCCAAAAGCATTCAGACAGACCTTCACTTACAGTTCGCATGAAGCCAAACCCATAGCAGTCACCGCAAAAGTGTCAGTAGCAACAGACGTTCAACTGTACATTTTCAGAAAAAAAAAAAAAAACGTTTTAAAAGTGAAAATACTAGAGCTACATCACGAAGTTCCCTCTTGACAGCAGTTCATCCAGGGACTTAAATCAGTGATTCTTGAGAATAGGGACAAAATTGGTTTTAATTTTCCCTTATTTTTTTTTTTAATTATTATTATTTCTCNATATAAAAACTAGTTTGCCATCCTTGGTGCCAAGAAATGGCCTTAAGCATTAGGGATTCTGGTTCACTCTTGGTTTAATTTAGCCACATTTAAGGTTTTTTCCAAACATTAGCAGCCTGTTTAATATCATCCTGCAGTATCTCAAACAAAATAGATATCAAGCCTTTATTGTCCCACAAAGGGAGAATTCAGGTGTAACAGCAGCATCTGGTATAAAGGTTCACACAAATGTTATTAAAAAGAGTTAAAAACAAGACTGACATGACACTGTCATAAACATGAACAAGACCTTATGAATGTTAATGACAGTTGTCATGAAGTATCATTCAATAAATAATGACACTTTTAATGCAAAGTTGATGTAAAAGTTGATTAAAAATGGTAACTTTGCATTAAATTATCATAATTTACAAAATCATGCAAAGTTGGCCCCTCTAATGGACTTTTAATGCAACTTTGCATTAAAAGTGTCATTATTTACCAAAATAAAGTGTTACATAGTCTTGTTCAGAAATCTAATTAAGGAAATTATTAAGGACTTGGCCACTCAAACACCCTCATTTTCTTTTTTTAAATCAGAATCCAACCAATTGTGTTCAATGTCATGAAACAGTAAGCATATTTCATTTTAATTTTCAGAATTAGATATAAATGAAAACCCAAAGTCTCAGGTAACAACATAACATTGAAGGAGACACTAGATTGAAACAAAAGCTGTTTTTAATTACTTTGACCCATTTCAGTCGTTACCAGCCATTCACTGTAACCAATAAGTATTTAATTACTGTCATCGACAGCTGATTTCAGAAACTGGACTAAGTTAGTGTAAGCTTAAAAAATACATACATTAAATAATTAATCTGTTACCTTGAATTTGTCCAGAGAAAAACAGAAGGAGAAGCAGCAGCAGACTGAGGGATTTCATCTGGGCCCCCAAAGAATCCGACTGACCTGATAGATTAAAGACATGTCTGAGTGATGAGACAAAAAACAAACAGATAAGAACAGCAGTGGGTCCAATATTTGTTTACCTAATTCACAGTGGGTTGCAAAAGTATTCACACCCCATGAACATTTCCATATTTTGTTACATATTTTATTAGGATTTAGTGTGAAAGATCAACACAAGGTGCAGATAGATAGATAGAAAATATTGAATAACTGAAAAATTCAATAGAGAATAGTGTGTCTCATGTTATATAGCATGAATTACCACTTTTTGTGTCAGTTGGTCACAAGCCAAGCATCCATTTACATTCGTTTCTCATCAGTGTTTGGTTAGGAAATTTATTGACGGTTCCTAAGTGAACCTCCGAGCACTCGGGCACTTTAGAAAGATGCCAAAACAGAACTGCTGGCCGAAATAAACGTTCATAAATCGGATCCACCTTGAGCTAAACGCCGCTTACCCTCGAAGCGCCAGTATCCAATATCCAACTTGAAACTAACTTCACTCCGGTCATACACCTCAAGTTTTGGACATGAGAAAATGGGAGATGTCGCCGTTTTCTCAAGCGGCGACATTTCCGCCGGCTCTGACAGGTGTGGTTGTACATGACAGCCACACCTCAGGTACCGCAGGTGTACCGCAGTACCTGAACATCAGGTACTGCTCCCAAAACGGGAGACTTGACCGATATGGTCAGGAAAATGATTGCCGCAATGCAATACATGGCACACACATGTAAAACCCGCCACTGAATTATCTAAGGGTAGTTTTCTTCACTAACTAGAGAATCCAAATGAATCGGGAACAGACATATTTAGTCTATCTAATGTACGACAGGTTTGCTGACATTTCCCGACTTAACCAAGCAACAACTGTAACTTAAGTCATCTTTTACCTGGTGTGAAAACACTGCGTTTAAATGTTCGCCGCTGTTTCATGGTTCTGTTCGAATCTAACCCGCTGTCTATCCCGCTAACACTGTTTGTGTTGAACCCACCCTATATTTCGCGCACTGGTTGCAGCCAATGGGAAGACGCCCATGAATGACGTAGACATGGCGGGAAATGAAGACAATTCATTTGCACCGTCCTCTCTGACTTTGCACTTGTATGTTTATCTTAAAATGACAATAACTGTGATTTTATTTCCCAAACAGTCTTTAGTGCTTTCCGATCTATAATAAAACAATATTTAACAATGTATTTCTACCTGAAATTATTTCATTACATGTAAGAGTTAAATTATGTAAAAATGATCAGATCAACAAATCTTTCACATCTAAAGGATATGTTATTATTCAGTACTTTCTTTTACTGAAGTTTCAGTGACACATTGTGGTAGAAAAATACTAAATAAGGGTAAAATATTTAAATAGTAGTTTAGCTGTTGAAGCAAATTCAAGCAAATTCAGTGTGCTTCACAGAAAAATAGGAAATAGAATAAAAAAAGGTAACATTCATTTAAATTATCACATTACTATAAATATATTTTGTTTGCAACAAGCTGCAAATAGCCAGATTTGTTTTTACAGCAGAACTGCAATAAATAGTTTTCAGTCCTGATTTAAAGACACCAACAGTTTCTACTGATTTCAGGTTTTCAGGGAGAATAGAAACTAATGGCTACTAATGTTTTGAAGGATTGTGGAGAACCATGACATCTAAAAAAATGTGTATGTTGCGTAAAAGCAAAATATTTCTCATTTCAGAAAGTGAAACTTGTATATTATATAGAATTATAATTCCAATGATTATGACTTACAAATAAAAACCCAAAATTTAGTCTCTCAGCAGATTCTAGTACTATGAAAAATGTAATTAATGTAAACTGAGTGGAAGGAAGAAGTGTGCATCGCAGCAGGAAGAACCACAGCCTTGAGAGGTTTGTGCTAGACAAGGGCTCCAAATCTCACATTCCCTGTGTCAACCCACCCATGAACCAGAGACATCAGTCGTCTTACCTGCCAAAGGTGAAAAGGAAGTGAATTGTTGAGCTTTGGTCCATAGTCCTTTCTTCAGAGGAGAGGAAATTCTGCATTTCATTTTGTAATCAAGGTGTCAGGGTCTGAAGAGCGGAGAGGCACAGAGTCCATGTTGGTTGAAGTCCAGAGTGAAGTTTGAGGTCCCATGTCGTCTGCTGGTTCTGGTCCACTGGGTTTCCTGAAGTCCAGTTCATGCAGAAAATTCTGGAGCGCTTCAAGATTCCCTCTGCTGACAAACTGCATGGAGATGCTGTTTTTATTTTCCAGCAGGACTTGGTACCGACCCATATCGCCAAAGGTACCAAATCTGGTTCAGTGTCCATGGAGATCCTGTTCTTGATTAGCCAGCAAATTCCCTGACCTTTAACCCCATAGAGAATTCATTTAAGACTGGGTTCTGTCCAACCCAATGGGGCTTCAAGTTCAGTTTGTTGAAGAAGGAGCTGAACTGAAAGGTAAACTGAAGTAGTTCAGGAATCTCATCAGAATCCATCTTCGATGTTAAGGTTTTCCAGACCCATTGGGAAAAGATTCCTGGATCCGACCAAGATCCCTCTTCAAGTACCGTCCATCCCTCCTGGATCAGGAACCCCTGCTATCCCCCAGGTGGCGCTCCAATACTCGTGGAGAACGAACATCTGGGGATGTTTCACTCCTGGACCTTTCATCTCCACAGTTTGACGTCTGGAAATAAAAAGAAGAAAATGGAAAAACTAAATATGAGGCATAGTTAGTGACAACATTTGCTGGGTTTCCATTACAAATGTATGTATATCTTTATCTGTACTCCAGAAAAGCTGAAAAACACATTCTCAATTGCAGTGTTTCCATTAAATAAGAGATTAAATCAAAATCACACATGAATGACTTATCGCATGAACAAACTTTTTCATGTGTGATTTTGATTTAATCTCTATTGCACCTACTGTTAATTAACTAATCACATCTGATGCTGGGAGAGAAGAGGGACAATAATATAGTTTTAACTGCAGCAAAACTGACATACTAGGTTTTAAATATATTCTAAAAACAGATGAAAACATAAGACATTAAACAAGTTAGTATTTAACTTCCTGACATTAGTATTAGTGTCTAATGGCGTTTTTAATGTTTTTTGTGTATTCTGTACAGAACTTTAGTCCCTTTGGTAAGTTAAAAAAAACGCTTCTTGAATGAAGCTGGGTTGGATTTGGTCATTTCTCCACCAGATGGCGCTGTTGTTATTCTGAATTGAACCCTGCTTTGCTTTAGCAGTGATTTGTGCCACATCACTTACACTCATTTTCATCTCATGGATGCTCTCAAAGGAGATAAAACTACTCATTTATAAAACTACTTATTAAAACAACTGGTAAAATATTATGAGTTTTCTTATAATAAAATAATTTTTGACATCTTTTCAGATTAATATAATTTGGCAGTACACGATAAAAACTGATCTGATTTGACTGGTCAGTGATTCTTGAGAAGAGGGACAAAATGGGTTTAAATCCACCCTCTCCCCCCAAAAATGTAAGTATTCCTAATTATTCTGAAGGAGGCCATATTGTAGCTCATCAGGTCCATGAAATATTTACAGTATACCAAAATTAAGCTTTTATTTCACAAAATTTTATCAAGATTTTGTAAATTGTCATTTATGGTGTTGACACATTATGGCTGTGACAAGCAATTTAGGAATAAAACAGAAGAAAAAAAACGAAGAATAACATAAGCTTACCAGAGCTAACTAGCCCTCCTAGCAAAGGAAGAGAAAAGACAACGTCATGGGGTCCTCAGAAGTTCTGGTGCCCCCCAATAATGCCTGAATGTTTTACATTCTTTTCATGTCTGACGGTGTTGACAAAAACTAGGGACAAATTTCAACGGAGTTGGAAAATATATAAAAATGATTTTTAATTCAATTTATTGATACTTTTATCATTATTTGTATGACTACTTATACTTAATTGTCATAATATATGATTTTAGTATTTCTTTAATTGTTTTAAACTATTATAATGTATTGAGTTCTGCTCCTGGACCAGGGATTTTACAGGCATCATCCACCGACTACAATGTTTAAAATAAAAAAATATTCAGCAAATACCTGGAAAATATACATTGTTGTGCTCACATGACCCAGGTTAGTTTAGTCAGATATTTGAAAAAAATATATATTTTGTGTATATTTTATTCAAATTTTGTGCTTTATCCATAGGACCCGTTTTGTCCCTCTTCTCAAGAATCTCTGTGATAATAATATTTAAGTACACAACTGTTGTGTTAAAGTTTTATCTATGTGAGCCCGGAGACCGTTTCAGAAAACTGGGTTAGTTATAAAACTAAAAGTTCATGGGTAGTGCAGTGTAGTACGTTCATATTCAAAGTTTTGGTTTCAGAAAGATAGGTGGTCATTAAACGGAGTCAAGTTACTACTGCATATTTCTCCATGAACAGTTTGAACGAAGTCTATTCTACATGAATATATCTCGCTTAAGTTTGAATATAAACAAATAAAAAAATGATTGAATAAAAAATTATCTTTCTTATTACGAAACATACCTAAAGGTATAAATTTATACCTTATTCTGTTTTCCAGCGGCGATTATTTTAAAATTTCCCTCCTATTTCTTCAGGATTCCTCGCTGTCCGTTTGAACTCAGCATGGTAAGAACAGGAAGTGAAGCATGAAAAGAGCGCGAATATGGGGAGGATGGAGGCACTACCAATAGATCCCAGAAGATGATTTAAAGACCGCAATTTCCTTGAACAAATGACACAATAATACATGAAAAATTAGAACTTTTAACAACTTTTTACTGTATTTACATTGTTTTTACATTGTTTTTTCCACAACAAAAAGGATGGATAAGAATAGAAAACATAAAAAGACATGAAAATATTTTGTTGGGTATGTGGATCACTTTATTTTCTCAGTTCTTTTTCCAGTAGATGTCACTTTGAAAACATGTTAAACATTCATGGCCTGCAAACTTGTTACATATTTTAACTTGGACATAATGCATCTTCTTTTTCAAAGCATATTTACAGTTTTGTTAAAGCATCATATTTATATTTATGAGATGGTGAACAGGTTTCCTCCGTTTGTTCGAAGGTGTTTCCAGTCTCTCCAACATTAGAAACTTCATGGGTCAGAATGAGGCGTCTGCAGAATCTGCTGCAGGATTCTGTTTGTCTGGTTCCCCTGGTGTCACTGCATGAAAAGAAGTTTAAACATCTCAGTATTTATACATACTTCCCTTTATGTGTCAGTAATTATTAGCGCTCTTGCAACATGTAAAATAATAAGTTTGCAGCAGGAAGCAGAACAACAGAAAGAAGCAGAATCATGATGACCAGACAGAAAGATTTATTCACTGATGTTAAAATAAAATAAATAAGTGAGACAGACTGATGAACCTAATGAGTCTTTGTGCAGAATTTCTAAACAAGGAATTTGGAAAGTTTGGTTTTCTTGCAGAGTTAATTATAAACTTTACTTGAACAAAAAATATACATTAATTAGTTTAAACCTTCAAACTGTCCAGCTTATCGTAACTTTGCTGCTCACCTCTGGAAACTCGTACATCACTTCCTCTGGTTCGGTTTTCCTTTTACCTTTTAGACAAAGAAAAATGTAATTGTTTTTATGGATTGATTAAAGTATTCATGTTTAATAATAATACAGATTTTCTCTTTTTGTCTTGACTGCTTCTAAAACAAACAGGAAACATAATTTATTCTTTGGTTGATGAATAAAAAATAATCAGTTTTAAAACTGTAAAATCTTGAAAAACGAAATAAAAATATAGAAAATGCATTTTTGAAAAATAAATAAAATCATCAGCTTTGTGTCAGCTTTGTGAACTAAAGCAGCAATAATAGAGAACTAAATCTCAATTTTATTTATTTTTTTATTTTTTTGCAAAACTTAGCAACCAATAAAAGAGTTAGGGAAGCTGACAGAGCATGGATGAAGCTCTGCAGATTCAGAAAACTCTTCAAAAAATTCAACCTAACATCAGCTGATTATGTTTTTCTCTAATTAAAAATCAACTTATGTGTTATAAACAATTGTTTAATGCAATAGTGTTTCAGCTCATTTAAAGGCAGGTATAGAAATTATTTTCAAATTGCAATCCCTTTTAAAAAGCATAAATGTTTTCTCGGGTTTTTTTTAGGATCAGTAAATAATTTATTGTTGGAAATTAGACGAAAGTTGCAAAAAACAAATTAGGAACTTGCTTTCTTCTTCTGTTTTAACCTGGAATCTAGGTTATTATACTGTTATTATATTGTAGAAGTAAATAAAAAAACTAAAGACTTACATTTTCTTATAACAACAGTTAAGGTAAAAACCACAACCAGTAATGCAGCCAGGATTATTCTTGTGACGTTAATAATTGCAGTGGTTCTTTTTTCAGCTGAAAAAAGACAACAAAAATATGAGAAATGTTAACATTACATTAAATTAGACATAATGACAAAAGCTTCATTTATACGTTTTTAAAAACACATCTTCTCCAATTTAATCAATAAAGCATTAAACACATTGATTTGCTTTATAATAAGTGAACAAACATCTTTATCAGTTTTAACAATGGGTTAAAACCAAAATGTTCTTTTCTTGTCATGCAGTCTCACCAAGTTCAATGCAGCGATTCTCAATGTTTACTTTGGATTCAGTCCTGCTGACCTGGTTGCTATGGATACAGATGACTGATTCTTTCAACTGATAGATACGAAGAGAAGAACCTGATTTGGTGACTGATCTTCCCTCTCCTCCTTCTTGGTTGCAGGTTTGATCCTCACATCTCAGAGTGATGCTGATGGAAGAGTCGTCTGTCCTGCAGGTCGCTGTCAGGTTATAGAAGGAGGAGGAGGAGGAGCTGGATGCACAGGTGAAGCTGAGATCAGCTGGAGACACTGGATCTGAGGGAGAAAGTTAATTTGAGAAGCTTTAGAGGATTAGAAAAATTAAAAAAGAGAGGTCAGAATCCAACAGAAAATGTAATTCAAAGATCAACATAATTATAAAAAAAACACAATGTGTTGTGTTCATGAATATGGATAAAACTGATAAAAGCCATAAAATCAAACAGAGGTCTGACAAAGTTATTCATTAAGTCACAAGTGTTGGAGTTTTAACTTCTTCATCCATTTGAAAGTATGCAGCTAATTATTCTGCTATCTAACATACACAGGTCAGAAATATAAATATCATAAAAACTTACCTAGAACTGTAACGTTGTATTGAGTCAGTGTTTGCACTTTAGGTGACACTACCATTGCAGTATAAATACCACTGTGTGTCTTCTGTAGAGTCTTTAATTTCACACTGTAACTTTTTTCTAAAACTTCAACTTTTCCAGAGCGACTGTTAACAACAGTTGGGCGGTAGCCACGTGTAAACTCTACCAGCATATCATCTTTAAATTGCCATGTCCAAAAGCGAGAATTTGATGGAATTTCAGCTTCTGTGAGATTAAGAATCAGATCATCTCCAGTTTTCACAAACACATCAGTCACTGCAGAGGAACCTGAAAAACAGAAAACAAAATAAATAAAAACTAAACTGAGATCTGTACAAAGTTGTCAGGTACATTAGACAGAAGAGACTGAGGTGTTTTAGTAAAATGTCTATATTGTTCATCTAAAATGAGCTTATTAATACACTAAATATAAATATGATGTCAGTGTGATAGTTTTATAAATAAATATTGCCTGTATGTCCCTGAAACGTCGTTCCTCCCAGCAGCTGTTAGACTTTTCACTGCTACCAACAAACCCAGTATGATGTTTGGTTTCCTGCTCTTCTTTCTACAGGATTCTAGGTTTTCTAAGTATTCTGTTTTTGAACAAATATACATTAATGTAAACTTTTTATGCTGTTTTTGGATGGAACAAGAACACTTTGTAGAATGTATATCTGCTATTCTTTTTAAACGTTTTTCTTAATTTCTACACCTATTGCTTTACATGTTTATTAGTTTCTGTTTTGTTTTTGCTTCAGATATTTTTATTTTATCTGAGTTTTTAGAGGTGGTGATAAATGTGGCACCAGCATTAAAAAACAATCGTCTTATTTCTTGATATCTTGTTTACCCTGTGAATAAATACGCTTAAATCAAAGGTTGGAAAACAAACTGGGCTTTTTGGAAAAATAAAGCAAATGTAAAATATTATATAAACAGACACAGAGAATGTTTTGTATCTGAACACCGTTTTGCATATTTTCCTCATAGTATTAATTTCTGTCATTTTTGTCCATCATTTGAAAGAACAAACATGTCAAACTTACTTCACAATCTAATCTGACCAAACCAGAACTAACACACAGTAAGAGATTGTTCAAAGAAAAATTAATAAATAGAATAAGGCATTGAACAGAATTAGCAAAACAGAGTGATGGTTAATCAGTTAAAAACAATTTTAATATTTGTAATGAGTTAAAAGAAGATCAGCTGATTTGATAAAAGGTTAGTAATTCTACAGATCTAAAGCAAAGGTTTCGTAATTTAAGTTTAATTTCTGTAGTTTGTGAATTAGTGAACATGGAAGAGTTTCAGTGAGAATAAAAGTGAACAAAAGCTTAACATTTTAAAACTTTAAATATTTCTTATCTTGCTAAACTGAACATTCTTCCTTCCTGCTTTTGTTTCATGAGATCGACACGTTTACAGCGATATACCAGATCAGTAACAGGATTAATTTAGAACGAAAAGAAAATGCTCAGAACTTTAAAATGTAAAACCCGAACAGAAAAAAAAACAGCTTTTACCTTGAATCTGAAGTGTGTTGATTAGAAACAGATGAAAAAGAAGAGTGAGAATCTGCGCCATTTCTCACATCGCATGAGGAAGATTCATATAGGAAGTGCTAACTTCCTTTATGAACCTACAAGGTGGACGATGCAACAGGATGTTCTTCTTGACTCTCTTCTTTTCCAAACAGTTTCCATGAGGAACATCTCAGGAGGCGAGGAAAAGAGGTTTCATCAGGACAACAGTTCATAAAGGAAAAACATCCATCCTATCTAATCATTGTTTTTGGAGATTTTAACAGCGCAAACATCTCCAATGAACTTCCAAAATATGAAAACACACTAAACCGATGTTAAGCAACTTTCTGATCACTGCTTCATCTCTTCCTGACCTACTAGTAGAAATTAAAAATATTTAGCTGAAACTTTTAGAAAGTATAGGAAACTAAGAACCCTCTACATCCCAGTTTTAAAATCCTTACACTTCCTGTAGCTCATAGACTTTAAAATACTTCTGCTACTTTATAAATAACTGAATGGCTTTGCACCAAAATACATTAAATATCTGCTGCTGCTGTTGTATCAACCTTTCAGTCCTCTCAGGTCTTCTGGTTCTACTCTGGTCCAGAACCAAACAGTAGCTGAGTTTCCATTACAAATATGGGGAAATCTTTGTCTATATTCTGTGCAATTGTGGTGTTTCCATTAAATAAAACATTTAATTAAAATCACCTGTGAATAAGTTTGTCATGAAAAATCATGGTGGGAATGACGTAAACAGATACATGAGATATATTCATAATTCAGCCGTAGTGCTCATCATCTATCAGCCAATCAGAGAAGACAGGTGATGAATGTGGCAGAGTCTGTTTTTCAGTAAAATATGTGGTTCTACTTATTATAAAAGATCTGTTATAATAAGGCAAACACTTTATGTCGTGAGTTTTTGTCATTATAAGAAGATTATGTTATTAATAATTTTGTCCTNGTGTCTCATTCCTTGATTACCCTCCCTGTGTATTTAGTCCCACCTGTTGTCTTTGTCTCTTGTCGGATCCTCGTCGTATGTCATTTGTCTGCTTGCCACCACAGTCGAACTGTAAAGTCCTGTGTTGGTTCAGCTCTCGTTTTCAGTCCTCTGTCTTTCAGTTGCTACCGGTAATTAGCTGTGTGCTAACTCTCTGCCGTGCCGCCTGTGTTGGACTGTGTTTGAGCTCTCTTTATTAAATTCATCATCATCTTCATCACTACCTGGGTCGTCGGCGTTCTTTCTCACCACCACCAACCACACCCCATGACAGCTACAAGCTACAGTTGGTCAAAGCTTCTGGTGCAGCCCTATCTACTCATCCTAATGTTAATGCTAATATTAACAAATGCATCAAAAGCTAGTTTTCTAAATATTTATCCAAGCCTGTACATTTATTGCATTTGCTTGCAGATATTGGTTTCATACAGATAGCTTATTTTTTTTCTTTTTGCATTTGAACTTTGTTTAGCGTTGAATAAAGAAAAAAAATACAAACATTTATTACCTCAATACAACTGTGCTGAAAAAGAACAAAAGATCTACTACAGACTGAGGCACAAAGTTACCAAACTGTCATTTTGTCTTCTGCTACAACCCCAAACTCTGAAATACTGTAACTACGCTCATCATTCACTTGTCAACTTTCCTCATGTTTTAAACTCCACAATGAGTTTTCACGATCAGGAACAACAACTAGACATAAAATATGGAAGTGCTTCAAAATCTAAAGAAAAATTGTAAGAGACTTAAACAAATATTAATTACTACCTTTACAAATATTATAAAGACATCTGTCTTTGTTATGGAAAAGTAAGCCTGTGTATTTTCAAGTTTTACCACATACTCTTACGTCCAGACTTTGACTGGGCTGTTCTACCACATGAATATGCTTTGAACTAAGTGACACAATTTCAGCTCTGGCTGCTCCAACCTAAAGTCTACTTAAGGTTTTCTTCCAAGACCAGAGAATGATGCTGCCACCAGGGATTCTTACTGTGGGGGATAATATGTCCATGTATTATTATTTTGTCATTTATTTTCATGACGGCAGAAAATTGAGTTTTGCAATTCATCTGACCAGAACACCTTCCTCACAAGTTGTCATGCGAGAATATGCCGTTGTTTGCATCTTAGGCTTAGAAGTCACTTAAAAATGTTCACACTTCTCTGCTCTTCAAGCATCTGCCTTTTGCTATCAATCTTTGAAGGGAATAAGCAGACCGGGCAAATCCTCTGGCATCTGTTGGATCCAGTTTATCTTCCTTAGAGCCTCTTTACCTCAATGTTAGTGGGATCTCAGTGAAAAAGTCTTATCTGTCAAAGTCCAGGCGAGATTATCAATCCTGACCTGTCTCAGGCTCTGGGAGCTCAGACCTCACACAGACCGGTGGAAAGAGGGGATGCTGCAGTCAGAGCTTGTTATTCCCCTGACTAGAAATAATTTTACAACAGCTACTAACTAAGCTAAAAGAAACACGTTTAAAAGTAATTTTGATTTTTTTTTTCCAACCATCTTGTGTCACTTTCATTTCATCAGATAGGCTTGTTTTAATTGAAATTCCCCCTACAGTATCTGCGCTCAGCTTGACTACCCAGGTACAAATTAGTCAATTGTTATTCTTGTCAGAGAGAGGTCAGAAGCCTACACTTGCTCCATGTGTTTTGAGTTGGCCTGAGTGGCGAGCGGGGAGGTTAGTGTTGACTCTCCTGGTGAAAAGTGGCCTTGATCCATCTCAGTGTGGTCACTTCCAGGTCAGGCTGTAGGCAGAGTCGGCGCAGGGCGTGGAGGGGGGAAAGCAGGATATCAGAGACAGGCCAAATAAACAAACCCGTCAGCCGTAGCAGGGCCCTTTGACCTCCGCTGTCCCATCTGTTTTCTTATCTGCAACGCTGCTAATACTGAGAACAAGTGACACCTCTCTCTGGCAAGCACCAACTGTTTTCCTTCCACTTAGCTGCAGCAGATCTGCACTTGGTGAGGAATACAATATCCTATAACATGTGGAGACGGAGTTATGTTGGCATAAGAAACCGTTCTTATCTAGAATGAGAAAAACATCAGTAGGCTTTTCAGATTTTGTCATGCAAATACGCTATATGGCTGAAATGAGTTTCCTTCTTTTTTTTTTTTTGAAGACTTAAAGTCAAAGACAAATAAATCCTGTTTGATTTCATTTTGCAACATGGGGATCTTAACAGCTGGTGTGACATTTCAATAAAAGAGCAGATTTGTGATGAATGGGAGGTCTCATAGGCATTTTTGTGAAAAAGCAATAGATGAAATAGTTTAAAAAAAACAAAAAAAACACCAGCTGGGCCACTGGACAGTAACATGATGTGTGGCCAGTGGCACCAAAACCTTGTTACTCCCGTTTCCACCCTTTGTACTTTGTCAGGAAGGTCAGACAAGATAGATTACTATTGTGTTTATACCCGGACACTTTAACCTATCGTTCGTTCTCCACCCTCTCTCCAGCTGTTGCTTCAGATTTGCTATAAAAGCCGCTAAGAACATTCTGCATGTGGAGGGGTGGAGAGGATAGGTGGCTGATGGTGCCAGTCAAATTTCGGGGGAGGAGTAGGGATCTTTTAATGATTCTCCCAGGAGACCAGAAGGGACAGGCTGAAGAGCCGGACCAGTGATGGGTACGAGATGCTGGAGGCAGAGGTTTGTGTAGTCGGCAGAATGAAGAGCGGGAAGGGAGGATGGCGGAAAGGGGTGGGGGGGACTAAAACAAGCTGTCACATGGCAGGAGAAATCTGCCCCAGTTAGTCACATCTGCCGATGGGCACAAGGACGATGCCTGAGGGCTGCCAAGTCAAAGGTCAAAACATGGCCCTGCAGAGCATTCAGATCGTATATCAAACCCAGTCAATAAACTGGCTGCTGTCACTGTTACAGACACCAGTACTGGTGTCTTCTTTTCTACAGACTCCTTTCAAATGGAATCACTGCGATTTACAGTTTATTTGCTTCATTTTCAGGTTGCTTTTCTGGCTGTATTCTGTTTGTGATCTTTGTTTGATTATTTCATTCAATTAGCCAGTCTTGCCTTACAACAAAACAAAACAAAAAAAAAAAAAAAAAAACCTGACAGATGATGGTTAAGATCTCATTTCTGTGAACTTACACTTCAGTATGTTGGTTTCAGGTTTGCTTGGGTAGCTCAGAATTTGATTTGTTTCCTTTTGAAGGCCGTTAAAATAGTTTGGCTTTGTAAACTTCTGAACTCCTTGGTCTCCAACACACCGTTTTTGCATTTTTCCTTTTAACACATTGAGCTTATTGGGAAGATGATTCCTTGTTATGCAGCCCCTTGTCATGTTAAGATAACTGACAAATCAAAAATAGTTATCTCATTTTCCTTTGGCCAAACGGCAATCTCTCATATTCTGGAGCCACTTCACTGTGAAGTTTATTTTTTCTAGATTATCTGATCTTGTTCTCCATTTCTACTCAAAAGTGAAGAATGCAGCCAACCCCCACCACCACCACCACCAGCCCTCAACCCTCTGGTCCTTCTGACCCTGTTCTGCTCTACCCGTCTGCTAGTCGGGCAAAGCCCATGACCCCCCAGTGCAGCTCCCTTGGTGACTAGTAATGGTTTATTTTGTGTCAAAGTGCATTTTGGTGTTACTCTACTCAGACTTGCAGGACAAATTCAGCAGTTGTGCAACCTAAACCTGTCATGAGCTCACATGTTTACAACGCTGGCATGCTATTGTTTGTGACACCTTTCAAATAAAAGGTAGCCAAGATGGACAGTGTTTACAGGATGCTGGGAGCTGCTAGAGGCTGTGGTTGGCAACTTTGTCTGTTGGGTTGGTGTTTGGAGGCAGATTTGACAGCTGCTGAGCCTATCCGTGCCTGCCCTGTGCAGCCCAAAGGTGCCTGGCATGACACTTCAGGGTCGCCATGTCTTCTACTTTGTTATAGTAAAAGGTATTGCTTTGAAGAATACACAGTGTTTTGCAGTTAGTGCCCTTTAACATTTTACATATTTTATCGCATTACGGTCACACCTACATCTCTAATTAATCGAGACTGTGATTGACCAGCTGAAAATACAGCTGAAAGGAAAATGTTTGGTATGAGCTGAAAATCTCTGCTGTTTTTTCAGAGTTGCCAAGGGCCCCATTGACTGCTTCTCTCAGTGATGGCCTCATTGGCCAACCTGTCAATTTCAGTGGATGGCTGCGTTTTGGTGAGTCTGCAGTTTTTCCACGCGTCTTTCATCTTCAGATGGTTAAATTGGTTCATGACATATTATGACTTAACCCTGATTTAAAATTCTCAATATTTCATGGCTCAGCTAGCTGGTGTCTGGTGGCCTTGATGACGTCCACTGATGCTTACAAATGTTACTCTAACAAACTTTGTCCTACTAAAAGTGTGTGGTTGCAACAGTAGAAAACAAAACATAATAGTTAAGGAAATTTCAATACTTTAAATAGAAACAGATCTGTTGTCTGAGCTGAGCTGCACATTACTTTGTGCACTGCGGCATTTGTTTTTGAACCTCTTCGTTGAA